GTGAAGAGGTGGTTAGTGTCGTGCGGGGATTCTCCACATGCCGGGCATACGTTAGGAATGCTGGGGTCTAGTCTGGATAGGTAGGAGTTTAACCTGCTACAATATCCAGACCTGAGTTATGTCAGGGTCACGCGGGTCTCTTGAGGCAGCTCGAGCTCGTTGTCTGCTATGGGTGGTGGTATTTCTCCGAGTACGCTATTCACTGGAAGGAAGTCCATGAAGGTGTTAACTCACTCCTGATGAATGGCGTTCAGTGCTTGTCGATACGCCGTCCTGTCCAGCGGTTGTTGTGTGCGTTGCTGGATCGTGTCCTTAAAGTCTAGTACTCCCTTTCTGATGTGCCTAGGTGGAGGTTCAGCCTCTATTAAGTGCCTATTGGGGTGCTCCCTGCGGTAGCATCCCAATAGGAACCGCTTGCACAGCAAAGCATTATGCTCCTTAACTCGTAGCATAGATGCTTCGCTGTGCAAGTGATGCTCCGGCGACATCAGGAGGTTTCCTGTCGCAGTCCTGAGGGCGTCCTGTTCGTCCCCGGCGTCCAGATCGGAGCAGCATAGTTTACGACCGGCCGGCCAGCAAAGTTTCTTTATCTTTACCCCAGGTGCTGCCGGCTAGCGCTTTGAGTATTTTGTTGCGGCTCTGGAGTTTTGCGGCAATTGCGGTCGTATGCGGGAGTGAAGGAGTGGAGGCTGTCTAGAGTTACTCCCAATATTTTTGGGTTATTTATCGTCGGAATTTTTTCGTCATCGACCTTTACATCCAGTTCCAGCCTGTATTCCTTCGTCCAGCTGGTGAAAAGGGTAGCCGAGGATTTTGTCGGTTGGATTCGTAGTTGTCTTGCTGTGAAGAAGTGGGAGAGATCAGCGAGGTAGCTGTTTACTTTTGAGCAGAGGTCATCAATATCCTGGCCGGACGCCATTATCGTGCAGTCATCGGCATACGAGGTTAGGGAAACTCCTTCTGGTGGTGGAGGGAGTTTCGATATATAAAAGTTAAACAGTAGCGGGGAGAGGACACCACCCTGCGGAACCCCCTGTTTAATTTTTCTGGGTTCAGATGTTATACCTCGGAATATTACCGATGATTGTCGACCACTCAGGTAGCCCATGACCCACCTCTGCAACCCCGGCGGTAATGAGGATTCCTCAATGTCCGTTAGTAGCACTAAATGATTGACTGTGTCAAAAGCTTTCGACAAGTCCAGTGCTACTAGGACAGTTCGCGCGCAGGGTCGGATTGCCCACTCAATCTTTGCCATCGCTTTCGCTCCATGCGATGGCTTGCCTCCACTCGAAACCGATAAAATAATTTTTCTACCTGCTGCAGTTTCGATTCGACCGCCGTCTTATCCTCGTCGAAACTGAAGGGCTAGTCTTGAAAGAGGTCCGCCGACCTTCTTTTCTCTAATAGTCGCGACGCTCTTAGCGACTTACGCAAGACCTCGACCGTACCGATTGGAAGACTGCGTGCCTCCATCTCGCACCTGAGCTCGTCTTGGGACAACCGATTTATTTCCATATTCAAATAAAAAACAAAAAACGCAAATTCGATAAGAAGAATAAAAACCAAAGAAATATTTATTTAAAAAAGTTTTTATTATTATTAAAATTAAAAAAAATCTATTATCCTCATATTCTTCGCGTTGCCCTTACTGGCACAACAAAAGACCCTAGCACGAAAACAACAAAAGAGCCTAACCACACAAAACAACAAAATTAATAAAAAATAAAAAAAAAATTATTGTCTACTCAGACAACACAATAATTAACGACACAAATTTAATAAATATTTAATTCAACAAAAAAAATCTTTAATTAACAAAAAAAGGTAAAAACCACAAATCAAATTCGGAACGTCCACTACTAGTCTCTATCGGACTAGTTTCAACACCGTTGACCAACATTTTTTCTACCGATATAATGCTTCTATGCAATATACCGCAACAAACAAACAAAACAGAAATAAAAATTACAAAACGGAACGGACTCACCAAATTCCTTCGCAGTATGTCAGGCTGTTGATTTTCGGATGTGGTCTTGGGTTCGACCCCTAACGAAACTCTTTCTTTATTAAAAACTGCCAACAACAACCAACTATACGAAAGACGCAGAATTTTCCAAAACACTCCTCTTTTGCTACATGTATTTATTTTTAGATATTGGGCCCCACGTTGGGCACCACCTCCTCTTTTTTTATTTAAAATATGTATGTGCGCATGTACATACGTACATACATATGTATACCTACAGTGGCTGTTGGTCAAGCGCCTACCAACAACCACACACGTCAAAACAAGCTACCGCACAAAAAGGAAATGACAAAAACTAACAAAGCGACCGGCCAGCTCAGTGAAGACGGCGTGAGTCGCTAACTATTGTACGTACAATAACAAAACTATTCGCCAAGGAAGAAAAACAACACCAAGTTGATCTTACTAACGCCGGTATAAATTGCAGGATAACAATTTAACTGCAAAGTCGATCTTATACTTAAGACAATAAAAAAAATATGTTTTTGGGTGCACTTGAGGTGTGGTCCAACCGAACTGGTTACGAACCCACTCACACGACTCCCGTGCTGCCGGACGTAACTTTATCCCGCCTGTATGACTGAACTCTGGGTGCGTGATGCTATAGGGATGTGTAGGGACGTAACGAGGGAAGAGACACTGTCAGCACGACAAAAAGCTAACAAGCAATACGTCGACAAAATAAAACTTAGCGGTTGCTCGGTCGGGTGTGCGTCCCGAATTCGGTGCTCCTCCGGATGATGCCGACGCCAAACTCCGGTTACGCCACTGCAACACAAAGAAACTATTTTGCCCTGAGCTTCTACCCTTAACGAGCGCACCGAATACCCTGGGATAATTTTCCCCTTGCCGCATTAAAGAAAAAGGCGACACCCCTTTTTACGGAATTCCCGCCCAAAGCATTCCGTTGCCCTAATATTTGTTAGAGGAGGAACCGTTTTGGGGAACACCTCCATCAATCCATGGCTTCAAATATTGAAACTATTTGCCGACAGATGTCACTGCCAACGAAAAGAAGCTTAGGCAAAACAAAGGAAATGAACAATCAAACACCAAAGAAGTTTTTGCTGCGGCCAGTACGCGACTATGTAAACATGTATAAATTCTTTGAAAGTATCTTCTTCTTTTTTAAGTCTTTAACACTCTCGTGTATTTTTTGTACAATTGTATGTTTGTGTATTTTTCCAGTTGTCATCGTCAAAGCATTTTTTTTTGCACTTGACATTTTGCAGCTCTTGCAGTTGCAGTTTTTATTTATTTGTTTGCTTGGAGAGTCAAAAAATTACTTTTGCTTTAAATTTTTTACTGTTTTTTTTATTAGAATACGCTTTAAGTTTTTTTGTTTCAATTTTTCAAAAAAAATATTTCTTTTAAAGATTGTGTGCATTAATCTTATTTTTGCTTTTGTAGTTGTTTTTTTTTGTGCGCATTCACTTGTTCCCCTTTGCAGCATCAGCTGTTTTAATAGAGTGCCAATTCAAGGTTGGCTCGAAAGACTATATTTACGCAATGGTCTCTTTTTAAGCGGATGTAATTGGGTGTAGTCAAGCTTTTGGGTATGCTGTTTCAGTTGCGAAGCTATACACAATTCCTACTCTTGCCTCCACTTCGCGCACCCTGGAAACGTGAGCAACCCTTGTGCAAGATGCGGTAACCAACCCGTGTGGAGCCTTGGGTCACGGCCAATGAGAGAGGAAGCTTCAGTTCAGCCACTCCGGCTTATTCGGTGTATGGGTCTGCTGATGTCCAATTGCAGCGTCTGTTTACCAGAGGTGCGACTGCGAGCGGGCGTCGGTTTTGAAATAAGCAGCTAAAAATGTTAATCTTAATCGCCTAGCGATGTTGTACGCTGAGTTTGGGACCTGCCACCACCAGCCTCAATGAAAGATGTAATAACGCCAAGGATTAGATATCTGTTGCCGATCCCCGCAAAGAAATTAAGGATCGCGGTTTGAGGGCATGCACCTGTAACGTCCGGTCCATTAATTGGGAAGGGCTGCCCAGCTGGTTGATGTCCTCGCGAGAATAAAGGCTAACATCACCGCCGTCTAAGAAGAGCGCAAATTTGGTGTTGAATTTGTGGTGAGACTCCGTCGTCGGGTACTGGCACTCACTTCGGGGGATGAGCGTGTCCCCACAACCCGCATCAAAGCGAAATTTTTCAACATATCGTAGAGCATACCTACGAGCGCTGCCCCCGACATGATGCGAATATTGTGCTTGGCGATTTCAATGCCATGGTGGGCAAAGAAGGTATCTTTAGTACTCAGCATTCAAAACAAAACATCCCCAATGGATTGAGGCTGATCGACTTCGCCGGGGCCTGAAATATGGTTGTCTGTAGTACTACATTCTAGCACAACAAAAATACATCAAGCTACTTGGCTGTCACCTGATCGCAAAACACAAAACCAAATCGATCAAGCATTTCACAAAGTTTGGGCTTGGTGGTATCAATTAGATTTGTTAATTTAGATACCAGCGAGTTAAAACCCCGCTACCCAAAGTAAATTAGGAGAGCCTTGGAAAGCGCAATGCACTCTTAAGGTTTTCTGCTGCCGCTGAACTACTGCTTTGCTTTGGTGTTGCTAGCGATGATATGTTCTTACTCTGTGGCTGTTCGGAGGGCATCGTTGGGCAATTCTCTCCGCTGTCGTGAGTAAATGCCGTCGCTCATTGCTTCGCTGTTTGTTTTCTTATTGTATTAATCATCAGCTCTTTCAAATAAAAAGGAAAATATAGATGAGACGAAAATACAAGTACGCAACGAAAAACACTTTTGTGATGTCGTTAATTTCTTTCAACAAAAAATAATAATTACTACTCTTACCAGTTTAAGAGCGCAAAAGGGTTGATTGTAGTAAGAAACGAAAAAGAAGCTTGACTCCAATGAAGTATTTAAAAGAAGCTCTAGGAGAGCAGGGCTTCGCTGTTAGGGTAAACATAATAAATTTATTTCAATTGCAAAAAAATTGCTTCAAATTTTCTTGTCCCCAAGTTCAACTTTGCCTAACAAAAATGGAACCTATCCAATTTATAAGTTAAAGTATCTGCTACACCGCAAAGTTACGGTCAAAGAACCACTTAATTAAAAATGGCTCCGTACAATGTACGAACTATCAGGAATTTGCGCAAAACAAAACCTACTGTTCTTTACGTATTGTATGCGTAGCATGTGTGGACCTCTACTATTCTAGTAAATGCTCCTCAAAAAAAACTGATGCAACAAAGAAAAACGTAGTAATTGTGGTGGCAATCATACTGCAAACAATAGAGGTTGCTCTGTATATAAAGATTTAAAAGCAAAACTTTCTGAAGGTATTCAAGCTAAACGCAATCGACTCCCGCTCAATATTCCAGCTACGGTCCCTTTCAATTTACCCCGAACACTGGTCAAATGGCTTACGCAAGCATTTTAAAAACAAGAGAGCAGATCCCACTCGTTATTCCACCCAATTTGGAAATAGAGGTCATGATTCTCAACTTGACCCAGTGCATGACGCAATTTATGTCAACCATGTAAAGTATGGTACAACACTTTATAAAAACGTGAAACCAAATGCTTCAAACTTTGTTAAGTAAAATATGAGCGAACTTAGGATATGATTATGCAATGCTAACGGGGTTAATCAGCCCAAATTGACACTAAAATTATTTCTGCGGAGTCGTGAAATCGATGTCACGCTCTTATTGGAAACACCTTAACATTATGTATAATTTCTATAATCCTGGGTAAAGCTGGTGGATCAGCTGTACGAATAATAAATCGTTAAAAGCATAGTTCTCTTTACTCCAGTACTACAAACTGATTACTGTCAACTTATATCATTCTTAAAAACTTTCACATTCCTTTCCCAGTCAAATGAAACAAAAAAACAGAAAACTGTCACATTGTGTGCCGTGTGAATAAGGGAGAGGACACCATACTGCGGAACCACTTGTATATTTTCCTCAGTTTCGATGTTTTGCCTCGTAATACCATCGATGACCGCTCAGGTAGCCCAGGATCTACCTCTGCAACCCCGGCGGGTATCTGAGCATGATCTCATTTGACAACGTATTTTTTGAAAACACGTTTTTAAATGGTTGGGTGATGGTTGCATTTTCGTGTTTATACTTTTTAAGAAGGTTGTTTCATAATTTTAATTTCCTTGAAAAGCATACACATCAAATGAAAAGAATTGGATAAGGCTTCTATAAAGAATGATTGCATCTGCTGCTTCCATGTTTGTAATTTTAGGCCATTAAAAAATCTTTGCTCACAGCTTTGCAAATAAAATGACGATTGCTATGTGCTAGACAAATACAGAATTGGGTGCAGGGACAGTAGAACTCAATTATATTCCGTGTTGAGTCCAAGTGGTTAGGGCTCGTATACTACCTGAAATAAATGTTACCTGCTAAACTTGACGGGGTTAGGTCGCCGAAAAGGTGGCGGCTCTTGGCCGGATAGGACCCAGTGCGTAGGACGGGTATCGTGAGACTTATACTCGACTTAAAGGACTGTCTTCAGGAACATTTACAACCGTTAAGCAGCACCGCGTACAGACAAGCACTAAACGTCATTCACAAACAGTCTGTCAACACCCTCATGAGCTCTCTTCCAGGAAATGGCGTTTTTATGGTTTGACACTGAACCAACTATAGTAGACGAAGAGCTCGAGCTGCCTCGAGAATCCCGCGTAACATAGGCACAACTTAGTTGTGGATATTGCAGCAGGTAAAACTCCTACTTATCCAAACTCAACCCCGATATATTTAACTTAGGTCTAGCATGTAATGAAAGTCCAAACGACACTAACCAGCTCCTTACATGCACCCTAAAACAGACACATCTTACCTGCCACAGCCCGTTTCTTGGACCTCCCGTTAGGCGAGCTCGGTGACTTAAATTAACTAGCCTGTCCCTACACGAGGTTGGAAATGCCTCTACAAGAATAACATCCATAAATTCATTTTGTTCTACCTTAACGGTCTGTTTTCTGTACTTATGGCTCCTAAATCACTATTTGAAAATATACATATGCATAATGTTAAATATAAAAATTTGATTTCATTTACACTAACCTATTTTCTCGATAACATTATATGCATGCTGGTTCCTGAATCCATAAGAGCTGCTTTAGCTTCCATCAGGTTGGCGTTTGTTAAATCGTGACTATCAATCTCAAGTAACTTGTCGCCGATGCACAATATACGAGCAGCATTCGATTTCGGGTCCACGAAAGAAACGTAAACTCCTTCCTGAATAAAGAAAGAATTGAATATTCTACTCATGTCATGAGACAGTTACGTAAAGTAGAAACAGAACATATGAAATTACCTTAAGAGGTAGTTCTTCTATGTCAAATCCAGCACTTTTGTCCCATCTCAATATAACTTGTATCTAAAAGAGAAACTAAGAGCTTATTGATTACTGAGTGTATCCTTATACCATACCACTTTCGGATTTTTATGCACTCCAAACAACCATTGAGACCTTCTTGAAGAAATTTCTTTAGGTATTTGAATATTATTTGTTTCATTATATACATCTATACTTTTCGCAACGTAATGTAAGTCACTTTTTGCCTTTATTGAGCACAATGAACGATCTGCAAGATTTTTATCATCAATTGAATTATGCTTATGTTGACAGTGCTCATCTATGTTTAAAAAATCATCACCCATTACAGGGGTTTGATCCCCATCTAAATGGGAAGCAGTTAACAATTCTTTTCCAGAGTTCTGGGCTTCTACCCTAATTCCATCGATTCTTGCACTCTTTAAACGTATTTTGTAATTAGACAAGTCCTCACACGATTTTCTTATCAGCTCTCGAGCAGTATGATATGGCGGCGCTTGAAACGAATTATTGATCGGTATTAAATTAATTCCCGTTTCAAACCAGTTTGAAGTTTGATATTGCGGATTTTGAATCCGGTTGAAAGTAAGATCGTCATTCAATGTTAAGTATCTCGGAGAGGCTCTAGATGAATATACTTTTTTTTTCATGTGAAAAAAATTATCCGTATCTTTTGGATCGAGTTGTTCCTCTTCGTTATTTGAATATTGCACGCTTAAAGATTTATTGTCAAACATCAACAATGATTCCAATAATAAATATGGATTCACTGACCTTTCAGCATTTTTATCAATATTTCCGTTTCGTTCAGTGCGAATACTTTTCGCTAAAAACAGCAATTCCTTTGGATAAGGCGTCGGTGACCGCAATCTACGCTCATATTTATTGACTTCAGCAGGATTTACAGGATTCTTGTCGCTCTTTAAATTCTCAAAAATCAAGTTTGATGAAATACTAATAATAACTTCGTTTTCTGCGAAACATATTCGACGAAATAGCTTGGAGCTTGATGATACTGTCTTTTGTATTACTTTTCGTGGAGTTTCAGGTCGAATAGAAATTCCTAATGAAGAACTCTCATGAGTTTGCGGATTCAGAGAAACGCTCCCTTGAGGTAACATAAAACAAGTAAGTTCAAACTTTGTACGGGATTCAACATATTGTAAAGGTACGAGTGGCTGAGATTGGTTATCGCTGATCCATAAAGAAGTTAAATTCGTCAAGTTTAAAATGGAAACAGGTATTGTTGAGATGCTATTGTTTACTATATTTAGAACTTTAAGCTTAGCCAGCTGCCCGATACTTTTTGGTAATTCAAATATTTTATTTCTGCTGATACTTAATATTCTTAGTTCACTGCAACTACATATTTCCTCAGGCAATGAAAGAAGGTCATTACAATCTAAAAATAAATAACGCAATTTTCTGAGCATTCCAATTGTAGGTGGTAGGTAAGTAAGGCTATTGTGACTGAGCTCAAGTTCTTCAACACTTTCCAAATTATAAATGCTTTCAGGTAATAGCTTTAACTCATTCGATTCGCATTTCAATGTGACTAGAGATTTTAACAATCCAACATTATGGGGTAATAAGTCTAGGTTATTTGAGCATAAAGACAATACCTCAATACTCTTCCAATAAGAAATATCTTGGGCAATAGATGTAATATTATTACCCACAGCTTCAAAATGCACTAGATCTCGCAATTTACAAAGGCTTGTTGGAATTTCATAGATCTGGTTATAATCAATCCATAGTTCACGCAATTGTCTTAATTCTCCAATCACCTCAGGCTAAAAAAATTATTTTTTTTTAAATAATAAAAACTTATAGACTTCGGCTTCGCCGAATTACAGGTACCTTTCATTAAAAAAATTAATAGAATTGAATAAAACTCTTAGTAGCAGGTTTATTAGCATAAGTACAGAATACATACCGTTAAGGTAGAACGAAATGAGTTAATGGTTATAGTGCGCTATGATCTCGGGAGCAAAGTTTTATTTTCGTCGATAGAACAGCTCGTTTGTCTGCCAGTTGAAGCTGATTTTCTTGTATATATTTGTGTATTTGTGCTTATATTCGTCAATTTACTTTTCAATTAAATATGAGCACCTCAGCCAATCCAGCCTAAAACGCCGTGCCATCAGAGAATCACCGTTCGCAAAGACTCTTAAGCTTAAGCTTGACGATGAGTCTACTGAGCGCGTTTTGAGATTTGAGGTTGATGTGAAACAACAAGTGAGATGCGGAAACTGAAAGCAACAATAAACTTGCTGTGAAGCAGAGGTGAGAGTTCTTAGGCAGATGCAATTGCTTTTGGTGTACCATTTACGGTGGGAGAAAACATTAGGAGTATCTTCAATCAAGTTTGTCTCTTCAATGACTTTATGGTACCACAAATATGTGATGTTTTCAAAATAAAAAAGACTAATATAATAATCATAAAATTTTAGGCTCCTGCTGATCGCGCGTGTACTCTTCGCGCATTCTCTGAATATCGAAAGAGAATAAAATCGGCTATTCCTCGAACTTGATGTCAAGTTTAGCATTTTCGAAAGCCTGTCTACTGGGAACAGAAAAATTTTACAAAGCTTGAAACTAAAACGTTTGGGGAAGCTGCAGTCGGTGTTCTCTATAAGAAGAGATGTTTTTGTTAGAAGCGCTACAGACTCCAATGTATGCAAAATAGGAAATATTGATGATCTTCAGCGATTTCGTTAACATTAATTTGTTGTATTTATATTTATATTTGTATTGTAGCTTAATATATATTCATACATGTTTTATTTGCATGTTTTCGTAAAAATGGTCATGCTCTTTTCTATGTTTTATATTATTCTTGAGATTGCTTATTTTTTTATTCTTGTTGAGCTTACAAAACAACTGTCCTAGTATTGGCATGAACAGTCTCATGATTGATGTGCTATGTAAACAGTGGATTTAACAAAGTCCATTTCAATGCGCGGGGTCTAAGTTCGGATAAAATGGATTATGTTCGCAACACATTTGAGTTTTCATAACTTGATATCATTTGTGTTTCTGAAACATGGTATGATGAGGATTTATGTTATCTTCTACTAATATAAAAAACTACAAATTAATTCGTAATGACAGACCAGGAGGAAGAGGTGGTGGGGTTGCAATATTTCCCAGGGACATCTATTCGATGTAATTACTTTCAAACCTGCTGATAGTAATATTGAATATTTAATTGTCGAAGTAAGCCGAAAAGAGTTCCAGACTGTTGTTTCTTTTGCTTACAATCCTCACGGAACTAATATTGTCAACCTTTTTTTGGATGCAATTTCTTTATGTGTTGTTAAGTATGATTCAGTTATAAAATAGTTTGTGGTGACTTCAATGTTAATCTTCTTGTCAATGACTCATACTAATAATTTACTTGACAATTTATCCAGTTGTTCTCTTTCTGTGGTCTGGTCTGCAGTGAATTGCACTCTTAATCTTCTTGACTACTTTATAATTTCTGACGAAACTACTGTATTAAAATTTGATCAATTAACTTTTTTATCTGGCCCTGGTTCCATTTTCTGCATAAATATCGATCAATGTTGCATTAAAAAGACTATCTTATTTAGAGATTTCCGCTTTGTCAACACAAATTTACTTTTTTCTGAATTGTATGGTGTAGACTGGAGCGAGTGTTGGGTATATCCATCTACGGATAAAAAACTGGATTTCTTAATGGGAATTTGAGAGTCTGCTTTCGAGAGACATGTCGCCTTTCGTACAATCAGTGATAAGTCTCTGTCCTGTTGGTTTACCTGTCCATGGTGTACCTCAAAGTCACTGAAATCAATTAAGTTACAAAATAAACTTCATTCTATATAGAAAAAGAAACCCACGTTAGAGAATTAGAATGCCTTTAAATCGGCTCAAAACAGAGCGACACTTGTTATCAGAAATTAAAAACAAAAAATTAAACTCTGGTCTCTAAACAAAGGTTTTATGGTGTAACATTAAACGACTTGGAGTTCATTGTAAGGAGAATGTCGAATGTTCCTTAGAAGCAAATGTAGTAAATAATGCCTTACTTCTAAACTGTGTACTTCACAGTGACACTATTAACTTTATATCGAGGGATGATGTTTTGTTTAGGGATGCTTATTTGCTATTTTCAGCTGTTACTGAATGTGATGTTGCTATGTGTATATTATTATACCAATTAAATTTATTAAAATTAAACTACCTTGCATTACTGGGACACTAACGCACATTATTAGTCGTTGGATTACCATATCTTTTTCCCAGAGCAATGGAAATTTGGCACTGTACTACCTGTCGCTAAAAAGAACCAGCTTGTAGTCCGTCTGATTTTTTACCAATAAGCATCCTCCCTGTATTGTCTTAAGTTTTTGAGATGCTTTTGGCTAAGCAAATAAACGAATTTGTAAGCAAGTACTTAATATCTCCGTTTCAATCAGGCTTCAGGAAAAATTGCAGCTGTATTACTGCGGTACTAAAGATCACTGATGACATTTGATCCAACTTGGATCAAAATAAATTCACCCTGCTTTGCTTACTTGACTTTTCAAAAGCATTTGATGTGGTCAACCATGAGTTATTAAGCTGTAAGTTGAAAGCGTATTATGGTTTTAGTTGTAGTGCTTTAAAGCTTGTGAAAAACTACCTTGTTGACAGGTTACAGTTGGTGAAAAAAGGGGACGACACATTGCCACTCAAGCCACCTTGGACACCTGCTTTTCAGCATATTTATTAATGACATCTTTAGTGCATGGTTATGCTGATGACGATTACTTATATTTATCAGCATTTTTTGATCTAAAGTTAAAGGCTATGTAAAAGCATTAATACTGACTTGGCTGATATCTCTAACTGGGCAACTACCAGCGGTCTAATTTTAAATAAAAACAAGTGCTGTTTGCTTCTTATCAGTGCTAGAAAAGTGACAACTCTGAATTTTTTGTTCCCAATATTCATAGACAATTGTCCCTTAAAATTAGTCAGCAAGATTAAAAACTTAGGATACATTATTAACTCTAATAATACATGCACGGATCATGTAAATTCGATTGTTTGTAAGGTCTATCTCATTCTGAGGAATCTTTGGCAGTCAGCTATCTATGCACCCACTGCTAACAGATGCCGACTTGCTATACAAATTATTCTTCCGGTTATTATGTACTCTGAAGTCGTATACAGCATATATGGCAGGGTGTCCGTTCGTTAAGTTGATGTTATATTTAATAATGTCACACGGTATGTGTTTGGTCTTTCCGAATAAGAACACATCTCGTCTTGGAAAGACCACATATTGGGATGTAAGATTGCGGACTATCATAAAGCCAGAAATTGTATTTTTCTTTGCAAACTCATTACGACCCAATCACCACATATATACATATGTATTTTAAAAACCAAATTCCAACATTCTTCACACTATCTCTGTTGTACTAAAAAAAGATATGGAAATCTTATTGTACTAATGCCTTGTTATTATTATTAAATTAATAAGAACCCCGTTGTAATGTGGTTTTAAGCCTGCACGAAAAAAAGAAAAAAAAAAGTTAAGTGTTTCCATGCTTCTTTTGTTTCTGGTCGTTTAACTTATACCTAATTAGAAAAAGGTTTAAGAAAAAATAGATTGGATTAGAACTATTATTATATTTTAATGCAAACAGCCATTGCACTAGTAACATCTACCGTGGTTAGGTTGCCTTCAGTTAGCAAATTTTGTTTTCTGTGTTGGCTATAATTTAAACTGGGAATGAATATGCATAGGGTACCATACATAGTTCCTTAATTGTGAATGTTAATTTTATGACTTATAATGTTAACAGTCTCTGATTATAATTTGTCCTAAAACAAAATAAAAAGCGGTTTCGCTCATCTGTTTTCATTCATAACAAAATTTGCTTATGCAAAAAAAAGTTTCTCGGACGTTTGCTATATGCAGATGTTACAATGTTTTACGAAAACAGGTAAACGCAATACGCAAAGCATTTTTTAAACCCAAACCTGTGCCAAAAAAGAACTTATGTATTTCAGCCTTGCTTTGCCAAAATATGCAATGCAATATAATTTGAAGTTTATGTGTGACCCTGTAAATAACTTACTTCAATGGCGACCCATTCATTTCGACTCTTTTCGCTTGATTTCTACAATGCATGTAAAAAAAAATTATGCACATTTTGACAAATCATTCGAATGAAATTTATATTTGCCGCTTTGTAACCTGGGTGTCGATTTTCGGCCGAGCTCCTTCTCCAATTTGTGGTTTTGCGTGTTGATGTGTTTCCAACAAATAGAGGGCCGTTCAGTTTATACTATGACGGCTCCGAGCCTTTATTTCATGCCATAAATACACTCATGTGGGTTGACAGTCCCTGCCAAGAGGCTACCGCAATTTGAAAAATTAACTTAATTTTTTATTTAAATTAATTTTCTCTATATTCTGAATTTAATTCTTTGTCTAAATTAATGCAGTGAAATCACGAATATTGTGCATTGCATGAATGCTTTGAATATTGCGTTTACGAAATCAACCTATGTATTGAAATTCACTTAATTGTAAAGCTGCCGATGCCCATCCGAGTAACGCTTGTGAAATAATGAATGAATGAATTATGAATAGAGGTAATAATTCAGGATGATGAGGTTATTATAGTATTTTTCAATAATAAATTATTTTTTCCTGCAAACCCCTTTATTGTGGTCAAAAATAAAATTTGGATTGTTTCTAATTTAATGGTAAAGATGGTATGAGTTTTAATGAAAGGTACACAATTTTTAAACATTTACCATATCTGTAAGTTCATTATATCCTATATCTAGCCGCAAAAGGTTTGTCAGACGAGATATGGATTTCGGTAAAGTCAATAATTTATTAAGACGTAATTCAAGAACTCTTAGATTAATCAAACGTCCAAAATTTGCTGGCAAAAATTCCAAGCCCGTCTCATTGAGAAACAACTCTCTTAGTGAAATAAGGCTACTCAGCGCATCAGGTAAACGTTTCAAGTTATTGAAGCTTAAATCCAAATGTGTTAAATTCTTGCACATTCTCATATTATCAGGAACATTTGAAATGACTGTAAAATTTATTTTTAATTTTTATTTTTAAAATAAGTTCTGCAAAGTTTATGGTCACTCACGATTTCGGCTTAAATTTAATATTTGCAACTGTCGTAGTGAGGCCATAGCATTTGGAATAGTTTTTAAACTGTTATTGTTTGCAATCAAGATACGTAAGTTCTGGCAATAGAACAATTCAGGCGGAAGGCTATTTATCTGTAATTCAAAATTAATAGAGAACCATTTCATAACGTATATGCACATGAAAAATAACTCACACGTGCTGCACTTAAATGCAGTTCTTCCAAAGTGCGTTCATGCCGCCAAATGTTAGGAGAGACATCTGTGAGGACGTTGCTACTAAAGTCTAATTTTGAGACTAATTCGTCATTTTGTTTTACGAGGCAGGAGAAGCAACGGAGAAAAGACATGATACGTTTTTCGTTTAAATATACAGTCATTAATTTCTAAACCTTTCACGAAGTAGTTCCACATTTTTCAGTTCAAAAGGCGCATTAAAATTACATGGTTAACTTGTCTGAAGTTTTAAAAATTAGTTAAAACAAAATTTTGTAGCGCTGCGAAGTTATTTACAGCAGCCGTAGCCAATAGCGAACCGCTACAAAAACAACAGCAACAATAGCTTTCTAAAAAGTGGCAACTTTAGTACACAGCCTATTAGCAGTGGGAGATCTACAATCGCCAAATATATAAATTTTATCGAGAGGAGTTATTTAATTTATTTAATCTATAAGTTTTCATCATTTCAAGTAACTCGTTTACATACAAGGAGACTGCTTGTACTTTGTTTATAAGAACACTAAAAACAATTTACTTGAAAGCAATTCCTTTAAAACACTCTATAAATTAAAAAGAATGCATTATTAACTATATAGAGAACCCGCTGTTCCATAAATTATTATTTGCCGACGCTGTGCACTTTGCGTACAATGAGCGCGGAGAAAACTTTTAAATAAAAACTTCAATCTATGTTTAATATATATCTTCCAACCCGAGATATAATACAAAATGTATATTATCTTAAATTGTTTCAAAACAATTAAATCGTAATTTTACTATAGAAGGTCAATACTTGACAAAAATCGGGCAAACTCGTCAGGTCTACATTATTCCCCTTCCACACGTGTCAAATCTTGAAACAATTTGTTTTCATTCTCTTTTGCATTTTCAATTAACTTTTACACGCGTCAAAAATTAAATAACTCAAGTTTCTCATTCTTTACTTTCTAATGATATTCGGGATTTAATTTAGGGAAATTTTAGTTTTCAGACACAGGCTTCCGTCAATAAATTTTGAATGGATGGCACGAGGCAAAAGCTTCCATAACTACATTTTTTCTCTCAAGCTGAATTATAGTATTTTAATAGTTCTACTTTAAATTTTTGGTTAAATAAACATAACTACGTTCACTTTCAGTCTGCCAGACTACTAAGTAAAAATATACTGTTACGATTTTACTAAATCAACCTCGATTATTTTCTAGATCCTTCGGGTTCTATCTCTGGATTGTTAAATAACAACTCGCCAATTCAATTTGCAGTATCTTTCGTTATAAAGATTTTATCTAATGTCCTTTATTTACTCCGTAATTCACAATTCAATTACAATGCACTTT